TTTCCTTCCCCAATTCAAAAAAAAAAAAAAAAAAAAAAAAAAAATCATGAATGAACACATATCTTTCGGACACCAATGGTACAACAAATTATGTTCCAAGGATAAACAATATCCAAGCTCTGAAGAATATCAGATAATTATTCAGTTTGACAGAGATACTTTATTTTATTCTTCAAAGTACGACAGCGAATTTCTATTTCGGAAATTTTATGATGATTCAAAAAAAGTGTCAAAACCACCAAGACCACCAAACGCTTTTTTTATATTTAGAACCGTACTTGGTTTGGTAGCGAAAGATATGTGTATCTCTGTAGGTGATGGGATAACCTTTAGTCGATTAGCAGGATTTATGTGGGGTGGTGCTGATGATGACGATAAAAATAAATTTCATTCATTATCCGACGAAATTAAAAAACTCCATGACGACAAATATCCTAATTATAAATATAAACCCGAGCGAAGCAACTCCGTCCGATATAATTTTTCAAATAAAACCGCTAAAGATTATGAAGTTCAAGAATTTCCTTACACTCCTTGGGTCAACCTGAATCTTTTACAGCAACAATTTTTTACCTTTAGCACTCCGACTATTGCTGTAAATTGTCCTCAATCAGAGGAATATGATCCAAACATGTCTCTATCTGTTCATCCACCTGAATATACAATCTTAACAAGGGAATCACCTTCTACTCTACAAATGCTAGAGGGTGTCCCTCTTATTATGAACTGTAAGGGGATCCCTAAATATTTTTAAATTCTTTATGTTTTATTCATTTAATATTGTATTTATCGAAATATCTAGTATCATTTCCCGTCGTCACATTTTGTAAATTTTCATGTCACAAATTATATAAGGGAATGATACATTATTTACCAAATTCGTTTTTTCATTTAAATTTTTTGAATCACGAGTTCAAAATTCGCTTACACTTTAAGTATCAAATTCAAATGTCATAAGATTAATAATAAGAAATACTTAAGCAATACAGTTTATTAATTTCTAGCATAGTTGAAATGATATGCCGGTACAAATTATTTTATGAAATCATTAAGAAAAGTAATTTAAAATTAGTTATTATCTAGTCGAAGGCTAAGAAATTTTGCTTCTTACTTTATGAAAAGTTTCTATGAAGATTGAAATATTATAATAAATTTAATTATTTATTAATATACTATATATCTTAATTATATTGTATTACAATTTAAAGATAATACCTAGCTATTATACATAAA